CCTGCCGCCCTGTAGCAGTACTTCCACTATAGGCGGTTGTTGAGGTGTAACATGTTCCTGATAACACGCGTGTGTGCGGCTCTGGCCGCGGGAAGGGCCGCTCTCCATATATATTACAATGGCGGGTGTGGGGTGTATGCGGCACGCGTGATGAATCTGCCGGCACACGGGACGCATTTTCTGGGTTCTACTTGGAATGCTAAGTGCCGCATTCATAGGTGAGAAGTCTTATCTGGGAATGTCGGAGAGCGAGGCACGGGGAGCGCGAAGCATGGGGAGAGCGAGGCGCAGGGAGCGTGAGGCGCAGGGAGCGTGAGGCATGGGGAGCGCGAGGCATGGGGAGCGCGAGGCATGGGGAGCGCGAGGCATGGAGAGCGCGAGGCATGGGGAGCGAGAGGCATGGGGAGCGCGAGGCATGGGGAGAGCGAGGCGCAGGGAGCGTGAGGCGTGGGGAGTGAGAGGCATGGGGAGCGCGAAGCATGGGGAGAGCGGGGGAGCGCGAGGCATGGGGAGAGCGAGGCGCAGGGAGCGTGAAGCACGGGGAGCGCAAGGGGGGAGCGCAGGGAGCGCGAGGCATGGGGAGCGCGAGGCATGGGGAGCGCGAGGCATGGGGGGCGCGAGGCATGGGGAGCGCGAGGCATGGGGAGCGCGAGGCATGGGGAGTGAGAGGCATGGGGAGAGCGCGAAGCATGGGGGAGAGCGAGGCGCGGGAGCGTGAAGCACGGGGAGCGCAGGGAGAGCGAGGTGTGGGGAGCGCGAGGCATGGGGAGCACGAGGCGCGGGGGAGAACGAGGTGCAGGGAGCGCGGGGAGAACGAGGTGCAGGGAGCACGAAGCGCGGGGAGAACAAGGAGCGGGGAGCGCGAGACGCAGGGAGAGCGGGGAGCGCAAGGCACAGGAAGCACGAGGCGCGGGGAGAGTGAGCGCGCAGGGAGCGCGCAAGGCGTGGGGAGAACGAGGCGCATGGAGCGAGAGACGCGGGGGAGCGAGGCGAGGTGCGGGGAGAACGAGGTGCAGGGAGAGCGAGGAGCAGGGAACGCGAGGAGAGCGAGGCATGGGGAGATCGAGGCGCGGCGGGGAGAGCGAGGAGCGGGGAGCGCAGGGATTTCCAACAAAATGCGACGGATTTCTAAGCGCCATCCATCGTCGGGAGGAATACGGATTTGTCGGCTTTAATGGCCTCAGGAGATCCGAGGAGCCGAGTAATGGATTGGGAGGATAGAAAATGTATTATCTCAGGCCAGAGCCCCCCCCCCCCTCCCCTCCCCCCTCGTATAATGAGACTCGGGCGCCATGAATCATCGGGTCCGGAGCGCTCGGCCGCCTGGATCATGTTCCTGTACAGGAATTAAAGGAGAACTCCAGACACACGCATACGTACACGGGGGAAGCGCACATGTGTGAGCTGAAGGATTCGCCATGCACACGGGGGAGGGGTTTAATAACGCTGGTAGCGTTAGCTGTATAAAGTCGCGTTGAAAACACAAGTTTATCCACTTTTTTTGCGTTTTGCCATTACCGTTTAGCCACATTTTGCCGCGTTTATTTTGCTCTTTTTTTTTACTAAGAAGAATAAAATTTGAAAAAAAAGTTGTCCAGTCCTGGGAGGGGGTCATATGATGTCCTCCCAGAACGCGCCCTCCCGTGTGCCCCCCAGGGGGGGGTACACCCGGCGATCTCCGTGATCACTGTGTCGTACGGACACAGCTGATCGTGCGATGAGGTGAATGGCCAATCACAGCGGCCTTTTACCATGTGATCAGCCGTGTCCAATGACACAACAGATCACCGGTGAATGCAGTTGCCGGTTATTGGCTGCACTTTCCTCGCACTGTCACAGCGTGAAGAGTACAGCCGGTAACCGGCAATTGTCAGAGGATGGATCGGCACCGATCATCAGTTCCCTCATGATCAGTGCCCAGCCTTGCCCCCATCAGTGCCGCCTATCAGTGCCCATCATTGTTGCATATCAGTGCAGCATCATCAGTGCCAGCTCATCAGTACCAGCTTATCAGTGCCGACTATCCGTGCTGCCTATTAGTGCTGCCTATCAGTGCCTATCAGTGCCCATCAGTGCTGCCTATCAGTGCCCATCACTGCTGCCTATCCATACCACCTCATCTGTGCCGACTATCAGTGCCCATCAGTGCCGCCTATCAGTGATGCCTATTAGTGCCCATCAGTGCCGCCTATCAGTGATGCCTATTAGTGCCCATCAGTGCCGTCTATCAGTGCTGCCTATCATTGCCCATCAGTGCTGCCTATTCAGTGATGCCACCTCATCAGTGCCACCTATCAGTGCTGCCTATCAGTGCCATCAGTGCTGCCTATCAGTGTCAGTGCTGCCTATCTGACTACCACCTCATCAGTACTGCCTATCAGTGCTGCCTATTAGTGCCCATCAGTGCCGTCTATCAGTGCTGCCTTTCATTGCCCATCAGTGCTGCCTATCCGTGCCCATTAGTGCTGCTATATCCGTGCCCATCAGTGCTGCCTATCCGTACCACCTCATCAGTACTGCCTATCAGTGCAGTGCCCATCAGTGCTGCCCCATCAGTACTGCCTATCAATGCCGTCTATCAGTGCTGCCTATCCGTATCACCTCATCAGTACTGCCTATCAATGCCGTCTATCAGTGCTGCCTATCCGTATCACCTCATCAGTACTGCCTATCAGTGCCCATCAGTGCCGTCTATCAGTACTGCCTATCAGTGCCCATCAGTGCCGTCTATCAGTACTGCCTATCAGTGCCCATCAGTGCCGTCTATCAGTACTGCCTATCAGTGCCCATCAGTGCCGTCTATCAGTACTGCCTATCAGTGCCCATCAGTGCCCGTCTGCCGTCTCAGTACTGCCTATCAGTGCCCATCAGTGCCGTCTATCAGTACTGCCTATCAGTGCCCATCAGTGCCGTCTATCAGTACTGCCTATCAGTGCCGTCTATCAGTGCTGCCTATCCATGCCACCTCATCAGTAGAAAAATTACCTGTTTGCAAAATTTTATAATAGAAGCAAAAAACCTTTTTTTCCTAAAATTTTTGATCTTTTTTTGTTTATAGCACAAAAAATAAACCCCCCAGTTGGGAGTAAATACCACCAAAAGAAAGCTCTATGTGTGTGGACCAAAAGAAAAAAAAAAATTTCATATGGGTACAATGTTGCATGACCGTGCAATTGTCATTCAAAGTGCAACAGTGCTGAAAGCTGAAAATTGTCCAGGGCAGGAAGGGAGTAGAAGTGTCCTGTAGGCAGGAAAGGGGGTAGAAGTGTCCTGTAGGCAGGAAGGGGGTAGAAGTGTCCTGTAGGCAGGAAGGGGGTAGAAGTGTCCTGTAGGCAGGAAGGGGGTAGAAGTGCGCAGTAGGCAGGAAGGGGTAGAAGTGCCCGGTAGGCAGGAAGGGAGTAGAAGTGTCCTGTAGGCAGGAAGGGGGTAGAAGTGTCCTGTAGGCAGGAAGGGGGTAGAAGTGTCCGGTAGGCAGGAAGGGGTAGAAGTGTCCTGTAGGCAGGAAGGGGGTAGAAGTGCCCTGTAGGCAGGAAGGGGGTAGAAGTGCCCTGTAGGCAGGAAGGGGGTAGAAGTGCCCGGGGGCAGGAAGGGGGTAGAAGTGTCCTGTAGGCAGGAAGGGGGTAGAAGTGTCCCGGTAGGCAGGAAGGGGGTAGAAGTGTCCGGTAGGCAGGAAGGGGGTAGAAGTGTCCGGTGCAGGCAGGAAGGGAGTAGAAGTGTCCTGTAGGCAGGAAGGGGGTAGAAGTGCCCGGTGGGCAGGAAGGGAGTAGAAGTGCCCGGTAGGCAGGAAGGGGGTAGAAGTGCCCGGTAGGCAGGAAGGGGGTAGAAGTGCCCTGTAGGATGGAAGGGGGGTAGAAGTGCCCGGTAGGCAGGAAGGGGGGTAGAAGTGCCCAGGGGGCAGGAAGGGGGTAGAAGTGCGGTAGGCAGGAAGGGGGTAGAAGTGCCCGGTAGGCAGGAAGGGGGTAGAAGTGCCCGGTAGGCAGGAAGGGGGTAGAAGTGCCCTGTAGGCAGGAAGGGGGTAGAAGTGCCCGGTGGGCAGGAAGGGGGTAGAAGTGTCCGGTGGGAAGGAAGGGGGTAGAAGTGCCCAGTAGGCAGGAAGGGGGTAGAAGTGCCCAGTAGGCAGGAAGGGGGTAGAAGTGTCCGGTAGGCAGGAAGGGGGTAGAAGTGTCCGGTAGGCAGGAAGGGGGTAGAAGTGTCCGGTAGGCAGGAAGGGGGTAGAAGTGTCCGGTAGGCAGGAAGGAGGTAGAAGTGCCCAGTAGGCAGGAAGGGGGTAGAAGTGCCCGGTAGGCAGGAAGGGGGTAGAAGTGTCCGGTGGGAAGGAATGGGGGGGTAGAAGTGTCCCTGTAGGCAGGAAGAGGGTAAAAGTGCCCAGTAGGCAGGAAGGGGGGTAGAAGTGTCCGGTGGCAGGAAGGGGGTAGAAGTGTCCCGGTGGGCAGGAAGGGGGTAGAAGTGTCCGGTGGGAAGGAAGGGGGTAGAAGTGTCCTGTAGGCAGGAAGAGGGTAAAAGTGTCCTGTAGGCAGGAAGGGGGTAGAAGTGTCCGGTGGGCAGGAAGGGGGTAGAAGTGCCCTGTAGGCAGGAAGGGGGTGACAGTGCCCGGTAGACAGGAAGGGGGTGACAGTGCCCGGTAGGCAGGAAGGGGGTGACAGTGCCCGGTAGGCAGGAAGGGGGTAGAAGTGCCCGGTAGGCAGGAAGGGGGTAGAAGTGCCCGGTAGGCAGGAAGGGGGTAGAAGTGCCCGGTAGGCAGGAAGGGAGTAGAAGTGCCCGGTAGGCAGGAAGGGGGTAGAAGTGTCCGGTAGGCAGGAAGGGGGTGACAGTGCCCGGTAGGCAGGAAGGGGGTGACAGTGCCCGGTAGGCAGGAAGGGGGTAGAAGTGCCCGGTAGGCAGGAAGGGGGTAGAAGTGCCCTGTAGGCAGGAAGGGGGTAGAAGTGTCCGGTAGGCAGGAAGGGGGGGTGACAGTGCCCGGTAGGCAGGAAGGGGGTGACAGTGCCCGGTAGGCAGGAAGGGGGTGGAAGTGCCCGGTAGGCAGGAAGGGGGTAGAAGTGCCCGGTAGGCAGGAAGGGGGTAGAAGTGCCCGGTAGGCAGGAAGGGGGTAGAAGTGCCCGGTAGGCAGGAAGGGGGTAGAAGTGCCCGGTAGGCAGGAAGGGGGTAGAAGTGCCCTGTAGGCAGGAAGGGGGGTAGAAGTGCCCGGTAGGCAGGAAGGGGGGGGTGACAGTGCCCGGTAGGCAGGAAGGGGGTAGAAGTGCCCGGTAAGCAGGAAGGGGGTGACAGTGTCCGGTAGGCAGGAAGGGGGTGACAGTGCCCGGTAGGCAGGGAGGGGGTGACAGTGTCCTGTAGGCAGGAAGGGGGTAGAAGTGTCCGGTAGGCAGGGAGGGGGTGACAGTGCCCGGTAGGCAGGAAGGGGGTAGAAGTGCCCGGTAAGCAGGAAGGGGGTGACAGTGTCCGGTAGGCAGGAAGGGGGTGACAGTGCCCGGTAGGCAGGGAGGGGGTGACAGTGCCCGGTAGGCGAGGGGTGACAGTGCCCGGTAGGCAGGGAGGGGGTGACAGTGCCCGGTAGGCAGGGAGGGGGTGACAGTGCCCGGTAGGCGAGGGGTGACAGTGCCCGGTAGGCAGGGAGGGGGGTGACAGTGCCCGGTAGGCAGGGAGGGGGTGACAGTGCCCGGTGGGCGAGGGGTTAAAGCCCCTGTGTGTACGGACACAGAGGATAACATGCCGGGGAGTTCATTGGTCGTAGTAAAAAACCGCCAAAAGCCAAAAACAGCCTCTGTGCGTGAGGACTACCCAGTCATACACCCGGGGCCGGGACAAGGGGTGGGCAGGAGGGACAGCCGCCCCCCGGGCAGTGGGCGTTCCTGTCATTGTGATGTAACATGTTGTTTTCTGCTCACAAGAGGCCAGTATGGTGTCACATTTGTTATTTTACAGCGGTGTCACCAGTAATGAGAACATGTCATGTGACCAGGCGTCATGTTGGGTTCCTGAGACGTTTGGAGGTGTTTGATTTTTGTATTTTTACTCCTCCTGTGACTAGACGTGCAAAATGAAAATGTATTTTTTTTTTTTTTTCATTTCGTTTCGTCATTTGACCAATAGCGATGGACAGAACACCTCCCCCGCTCGATTCGCAGTCCAACATCCGAACCTACAGAATATTCGACTGTGAACTTCGAACACGAACCGAACAACTGAGCTGTATCTTCCCGCACCTGAGTATGTGGTGAGATCCCACTTGAAGACTACAATCCGGCGGGAGTTCTGTGATGAAGTCATGAGACATTCATTCATGTTCCTGGTGTCAGTGGGGTTCCTGGTGTCAGTGCGGTTCCTGGTGTCAGTGGGGTTCCTGGTGTCAGTGGGGTTCCTGGTGTCAGTGCGGTTCCTGGTGTCAGTGGGGTTCCTGGTGTCAGTGGAGGTTCCGGCTGACAGCTGAATGGAAAAAGAATTGTCCGCATTGCCTGACAATTTACTTTTTTTTTTTTTTTTTTTAAACAGCGTGGGGTCCCCCCCAACCATACCAAGCCCTTTGGGTCTCTCCCACACTAAAATGTAAAAAAAAAGGTTTGGGGGTTCCCCCCCCCCCCAAAAAAAAAAAGATGGCAGCCACAACTGACAGAAGAATTGTTTGGGATACAAAGACCTATGGAGGTGACCTATGGAGGAATACAGGCTGCTCTGGAAAAAAAGACGGTGTATTGTTTCAAGGAGCACAATACGACGGAACAAAAATGAGCTGCATGATGGAGTTGCCCGAAAGAATCCAGTGCCGGTTTGAACCGCATCCAATCTGCCTGACATGTGAAATAACATTGCTTCCTATGGAACCTGTTCACATATATCCAGGGCATTGGCAGTGCAGATTGAAAAAGAGTCCTGTCCAGTTTCTGAGCAGTGTGGTCCGGTTCAAGTGCGGATTACAGGCTATTGACTTCTATGACTACCTGTCATCAGTTGTGAACAGGATAAAATCCTGTCCTGAACCTGATGTAAACCTGTCGAAAAAAAACAAACAAAAAACAAAAACATCAAAAACTGAACCTGATGTAAACCTGTCCTGAACCTGATGTAAACCTGTTGTCGGAGATCGCCGCGCCGCTGGGCTCGGTGCAGGCGCAGTACACCTCCCTCTACGCGAGCGCCGGGACTTGGGCCGACCGCGGCAATCAGGTTCGCGCATGCGCAGTAGTGTCCACGGGGCGCGCGCCTGGCACCAATGACAGCGCAGGGCGGGATATTTAAACGGCCCTGAGCTGTCATTCAGTGCCTTTTGGTCTCTTGTATCCTCTGAACCTGTGAACCTGTCTAAAGTAAGTTGCTGACCCGGATTGTGCCTGACCTTGCTGTTTTCTCCTGTTCTTGACCCTTGCTTGCCTGACCTCTCTCCTGAATGCCCCCTATTGGATCTGACCTGCTGTTGCTGACCTGGCGTGTGACCCGACTATTCTTTGCCCGCTGCTCTGTACCGCACCGTCCCCATAGTTACCGACCCGGCTTGTAGGACCCTGCTCCTGCTCAGCCATCCATCCATCCATCCATCCGTCCCTCTCTACGGGGTCTCCAGACCTCCTCATACCTGGCTCTCTCCCGTGGGAGCCCCTGGCGAATACCCCTACCACTGACGGGTGTCCTCAGTAGTCACGACCTGGTCCTGGGGTACTCCAAGTCCATCCCCACCATCAGGGGCCCTGGTGAACAAGTACTCTGGGGCTTAGACTCCGTGCGCTGGGAACATCCGATCAGTGGAGTGCTAGTGGTACCGCCGGGCGGTCCCTTACACCTGTCCTGAACCTAATGTAAACCTGACCTGTTTCTGATATAAACCTGACCTGTTCCTGATGTAAACCTGACCTGAAACTGATGTAAACCTGTCCTGAGCCTGATATAAAACTGACCTGAACTTGATGTAAACCTGTACTGAACCTGATGTAAACCTGTCCAAAGCCTGATGTAAACCTGACCTGAACCAGATGTAAACCTGACCTAAGCCTGATGTAAGCCTGTCCTGAACCTGATGTAAACCTGACCTGTTCCTGATGTAAACCTGACCTGAAACTGATGTAAACCTGTCCTGAGCCTGATATAAAACTGACCTGAACTTGATGTAAACCTGTAAACCTGAACCTGATGTAACCTGACCTGAAAACCTGACCTGAACCTGAACCAGATGTAAACCTGACCTGAACCAGATGTAAACCTGACCTGAACCAGATGTAAACCTGACCTGAACCAGATGTAAACCTGACCTAAGCCTGATGTAAGCCTGTCCTGAACCTGATGTAAACCTGTCCTGAACCTGATGTAAACCTGTCCTGAACCTGATGTAAACCTGACCTGAACCAGATGTAAACCTGACCTGAACCCAATGTAAACCTAACCTGAACCTGATGTAAACCTGACCTGAGCCTGATGTAGGCCTGTCCTGAACCTGATGTAGACCTAACTTGAACCAGATGTAAACCTGTCCTGAACCTGATGTAAGCCTGTCCTGAACCTGATGTAGACCTGGCTTGAACCTGATGTAAATCTGTCCTGAGCCTGATGTAAACCTGACCTGAACCTGATGTAAACCTTACCTGAGCCTGATGTAAACCTGACCAATTTCTGAGCAGTGTGGTCTGGTTCAGGTGCGGATTACAGGCTATTGACTTCTATGGGTACCTGTCATCAGTTGTGAACAGGATAAAATCCTGGCCTGAGCTTGCTGTAAACCTGTCCTGGACCTGATGTAAACCTGATCTGAACCTGATGTAAACCTGACCTCAACCTGATGTAAACCTGTCCTGAGCCTGATATAAACCTGACCTGATGTAAACCTTACCTGAACCTGAAAAACCTGACCTGAACCTAATGTAGACCTGACATGAACCTGATGTAAACCTATCCTGAACCTGATGTAAATCTGTCCTGAACCTGATGTAAGCCTGTCCTGTACCTGATGTAAGCCTGTCCTGTACCTGATGTAAGCCTATCCTGAACCTGATGTAAATCTGTCCTGAACCTGATGTAAATCTGTCCTGAACCTGATGTAAACCTGTCCTGGGCTTGATGTAAATCTAACCTGAACCAGATGTAAACCTGACCTGAACCAGATGTAAACCTGACCTGAACCCGATGTAAACCTGACCTGAGCCTGATGTAAGCCTGTCCTGAACCTGATGTAAATCTGTCCTGAACCTGATGTAAATCTGTCCTGAACCTGATGTAAATCTGTCCTGAACCTGATGTAAATCTGTCCTGAACCTGATGTAAGCCTGTCCTGAACCTGATGTAAACCTGTCCTGGGCTTGATGTAAATCTAACCTGAACCAGATGTAAACCTGACCTGAACCCGATGTAAACCTGACCTGAACCCGATGTAAATCTGACCTGAACCTGATGTAAACCTGACCTGAGCCTGATGTAAGCCTGTCCTGAACCTGATGTAGACCTGCCTTGAACCTGATGTAAACTTGACCTGATCCTGATGTAAACCTGTCCTGAGCCTGATGTAAACCTGACCTGAGCCTGATGTAAACCTGACCTGAACCTGATGTAAACCTGACCTGTAAAACCTGATGTAAACCTGTCCTGAACCTGATGTAAACCTGTCCTGAACCTGATGTAAACCTGTCCTGAACCTGATGAAAACATATATTTTGTAATAAAAATGCATTTCAACATACAATATTTATATATGTTTTTTTTTTTTAAACATATTGAATATGTCCAGAATTGTCAACATATTTGGGAAGAATATTTTTAAAATATATTTCAAATATATTTTTCTTCCATGTGGGTACAAGCACAGGAATGTGTAAACAAATGCGCAGAAACATGTCCACGCTCCCTAACGTCTGTGGGTGTGAACAAATCCTACCAGGGGGTTCCAGCTATATGAACAAACCACTCATTCCCGCGGCCTATGAGAATGACTCCTTAATTCTGTTTTATTTTAAATTATTTTTCATAATTTTAATTATTTATGTATTTATTTATTTTTATTTAACAGCCCCGTGGGGGAGGGCAGAGCTTTGGAGGAATATCAGGGGTCTAAACAGACCCCTGATCGCTCGCCTTTGAGGCGGAGAAGGAGATTGAGTGCTCCCAGTCCTTTCTTTGCTGCCTCAGCTGCACTGCAGAACGAATGAACAGGGCTCCCTGTTCATTCACAGACTGAAGCATAGTAATCATAGTTTACTATGCTTCGTTAGAAATGAGCACAGGAGTGATTGGTACCTACTGACTGGAACAGATCCCCTTGTGGTTCCCTCTGTACCAGCTGAAAGCTGGCGAGAGGGGGGAACCAGTGATCGGTGTCAGTAATTGTACCTCTCTTGCTGCTCTGGGCCCCTGTTGAACTTATGGGGCCCCGGGCCCTGTACAGCATTGCTTTTCTACCCCCTTTTCAGCAACCCTGACCCAACCACTCCCAGAGGTCCATGTTCAGAGGTATGGTTTGGGGAAATTAGAAACATTTGGGACACCTTTCCAG